AAAAAGCAATATACAAAACAATCATAATAATTATTTTTAAATAAAAATATATCATTGATATTTTTATCTCTCGTGGTACAGTTATGAGACAGCCACTGTAGTGCATGGTGTACAACTTGCAGAAGATGAGGTCAAGGTCAGGGTGAATGAAGTTGTCCTACCAAATGTTGTTCTTCTTGTGCCTACAGATGAGTTCTTCACTGTGGAAGAGGCATTTAAGTCCTTTGTCGCCTGACCTAGACATTTGGTTGATGATGTATTTGATCCCCCGGTAAACACTCGTACTATATACTTCTCAATTTTAATATTTATTTCTAATTGACGTTATAACATAACCATTTTTTCATGTAACAGCAGATAGGTCAAGAGGGAAGTCCTACACCGAAGAAGACTCATTTATCTGAGGACGACCCTCTTGGTGCGTTAGACAAGCTTGCTAAAATCATTTCAGATGCGCCGATGAATGTACACTGGGATTCTACTACATTTGGAAGAGAAGCTCAGATCCCATTGTACTCGCATCATCAAGATGTTAGGGAGCTTGCGTCGGGGAGAGAAGAAATTAATATTACACTCATTCAGCTGTAGATGATGTAAGTTTATGAAAACTTTTTTATATAATTATTTTTTATCAAGTTACTTATATCAGATTATTTCTTCATTTTAGGTATATGTTTGATGTTAGTAACAAGAAGGGGTTCAACGATGTATATGGGTTCATTGACCCCTCTGTGACTCATGAAAGAAATAAATTTGATGATATCCAAACATACATCACCACCTAATTTGGAATGGGGAAGGAGATATATTTTTTCCCTTATCTACTTGGGTAAGTGAAGTTTGTTAACTTTAAATTTTCATTTATTAATTTTGGTATATGACAATTAAGTTATTACTATTTTCAGGTGTCATTGGCAGCTACTTGTGATCTCCATACCGGAGAACACTGCTGTCTGGTTTTGTTCATTGCATAAGTCTTCTCCCAACCCTCTTAGACATGTAGTAGATTGGTAAGAACCTCAATGTTTCAACTTTCTTTGTTATATAAATGTATGCTAAAACAATTTTTTTAATAGTTCCCTTACAACACATATGATGTTATCTGGGAGATCTACTGCTACAACTAAAATGCTTGCATGGGTTGCCCTTAAGGTTTGGTATTTTAGTCCATACTTTGTTACATTTGGTTCCATTGAAATGATGTTACTTAACATTTTATAATTATGATGATATATTGTAGTGTAATAAACAAACGGGGTCATATGAATGTGGTTACTACGTCATGTTTTGGATGATGACCATTATTCGTGCACATTACACCAATGGATGACAAATTGTAATATTTAGGTTTGAATTTTATTTTCTCTATAGTTTAGATTTCATATACATTAATTGAAATCATTGTGTTTTATGCAGATATTCAATAGGACTGCTCCAATTCTAAAGAAGTCACTTCAACTCGTGAGGAAAACACTGACTAAATATGTAATTCAATTATATAATAGTATGTAGTAGATATTATGATATAGTAAGTTCTAAGTTTATGCTTCTAAGTTGTTTTATGTTTTTCTACATTATTATTAGTTTAACTTTGTACATTGCATTGATTTATGATTACATTGGATTAATGTATGCTTCTAAGAAGTTGATTTATGATTCCATTGAATATATTTATGTTTTAATATAATTTTCATTCAAAATATATGTTTCTGGATTATTCTGAACTATTCTGGCTGTAGATATATATCCAGGTTTGTTTCTGTAGTTGGAAATGTAGCAGAAACAGACCTCATTTAAAAAAAAACAAGGGCATATGCCTCGGTTGAGGTCAGAACCGAGGTAGAAAAGCCCCCTATGGCCTCGGTTAAGGTCACACCCGAAGCAGAAAGTCTGGCGGATGAAAAAAAAAATAAAAAAGGACTCTACTGCCTCGGTTCAGGTTACAACCGAGGCAATAGAGGGAGACATACTGCCTCGGTTCCCTCTGAACCGAGGCATAAAGTCCTACGAAAAAAAATCAAAAAATTTACTATTTCGGTTAAGGCTGAACTGAGACAAAATCCTACCTTTTTATGCCTCGATTCGCACCCGAGACTTTTTGCCTCGCCTGGATATGCTTCGATTCGTGAACCGCTGTCTATGAGAAAAAATAACCATTATCGTTTCCCCTGACTGTAATAGTAATAGTGTGTAGACTAAATAAATTAATAAATAACTAAATTAAAAGTAACACCTTTCCTTGAGGACTAAAAGTAAACGTACCTCACATTTATTGAAATTAAAAATATATTTAATACGAAAACACCATTAGAAACTAACTTTCTTCTCATTAATATGCATTTGCATTTTAATAAAATTTCATCAAATACAAATTTAAATTCATTAAACGTTTATTTAAATTGTGTATAAATATGATTAAAAAACATTAAATGCTATTTTGAATTATGATAAAATGGCATTAAATGATATAATTGCTAAATTTTTCACTTTCATTGCTTGATAATCCAACATTATACTCAAGTAAACATCCGGATATATATATATATATATATATATATATATATATATATATATATAAAAATTTTTAATAGTGAATTTTAAGGAGAAAAAAATATGAATTATAAACTTGATTATGACGTTGATGTATATGATAATGAAAGTAGATTCACCATTTTTTAAAATGAATTAGGTATATATAAAAACTGAATCATTTCCCAACTTTGAGATAAGTTTTGTTTGGATACAAACAAATTGGATAGCTCACTAGCTTGCTAGAGCAATACAATTTTATGAAAATTACTAACTTTTTCTATTGCAGACCACACTATATCTATCTAGTTATCTTAAATGAAGTTATATGAGCCTTTTGGGCAATAAAAGATTTCCTTAAAAAGTATTAAATATTTATCATATTTGCTTTGTACAATCATTTATCAACATTAAAAATTATAAATAACATGCATTACCATGACAATCATGGAAATTACAAAAAACATTTAATTGATACACATAGAATTAAAAAATATCAAAAATTTAAAAATCTGATAATAGTTAGTTGAGTTAATTTAGAAGATTTTTTAAATATACTTCATAAAATATTAAAAATTGGTTTAATTTTTTTGTTTTGAAAAGATATATTTCATTTTTTGGCATTTATATTTCACACCTTTTAAATGTTTTATAACACAAATCATAATGCAACATTAAAAAATCAATTCAATTAAGAAAAAAATATCTATAAACCCAATTATGTTTATTAATTGGTTTTTGAGTTAGTAAAGATTTCATCATTAAAGAAATAAAATGCACGGTTAATGGATGATAGTTTTGTAGATGCGACCATTCTTTGAAAATTTTAATATTTATTAAAAAAGTAAATAATTTTAAATAAAGAAAATTCTATTATACATTATATTGGTATAAAGAATACATATAAGTAAAATAATATTATTTTATCCGAAGTTAAGATATCATGTTCAAAAAATTATATATTTGAATATCATCCGACTGTATATTTTTTATTAAATAATAGTGTAAAAATATTTAAATTTTTACATGATCCTCACTATTAGACTAAATACAAATGATTTATTATAATATTTAATTAATTTTTCGTTTCAATATTAGTTAATTTGATGAAGCTCTCCTTTCCTTTACCGATAACACTTAAAAGTTATCGTTATCTTAAATTTAAGAAAAATAATATATAAAAGGGAAAAAATTTAATTTTTTTTATGTCACGGCACCCTTAAAAAAGTGATAAGTTATTGCAATATTGCATTAGATTTCTAACAATGATAACTATAAAAAAAAAAGTGAAAGAAAACAAAAAAAACAAAAAGACGTCAATATTACTAAAATTATTACTATAATTGATGTTATTTTTGCGTGTTTAAGACAATATTTTTAGAATTGGACAAGGTTCTGGTTTTAAGCGGAAGTGAATTAAAGTTGAACGATATTAATGAAAATATATTTAACTAAAATAAATAAAATACTTTTTAAAAACATGTAGTTAAAAATTAAAATGAAATATTTATACAGAAAAGAAAAATATTAATACTTGATGATGAATTATAATTTTAAAAATAAAATTGATTTATTTTTGTTATTATACTGATTTCTGATTAATTGATAATTTTAAATGTTTGACAGCAATTTCACTAACATGGCTGCATTAATTTTTCATTAAAGTAATGATGATTATAATAATAACAATTACTATCATCAAATTTATCATTATGGCGCACTAAAATCAAAACATAATTATACTAAATTTCATTGGCACTAATAATTAAATACTTATCTTTTTTAATACCACAAGTTCAATCTATAGTTCGTGAATGAAGTTACAATTGTACCCTCGGTAGAGTTAACTAGGTAGAAAAAATATTGGTTGACTGTGAATTCTGAACATTTTTTTTTCATAAAAAAAAACTAAAAATAAAAAAATTCTGGAGAGAGTTAGGAGGGACCTTTTATAAAGTTTATTTGAGTAATGAAAAATTCTTATAATTTTTTATAAGATATTTTAACTTTTTTGAACTTACTTTAAGAATTTATTTATAAATATATAACAAAAAAATTAAATATTTTTTTAGTCAGGATTGAATATACTTACTTCTCTTTTCGGCAAAAATTATTATCTCAAATGATTGAAAAAGAAAAAGAAGGAAAGAATAAGGCGAGTCCAACATGTTGTGGAAGCAAATTCCAATAATGCCTACCCTTGGCCCACCCACCTAAAAATTTTATTTTTTTAATTTGGAAAATTAAAACAAAATAAATAAATTTCATATTTTCTATTTTTTATATTAATTATCATGAGACATGAACATTGTGGAAAATAAAAATAAAAAAGGAATCATCTATCCCCATCTTGCACAGCGTATTCTATACTCTACAGAACGTTAATTAAGCATTAAGTAAAGTATAATAAATACAAATACATAATAAAATAATAATATAAATACCAAAAATATTCCCATATTCCTTTTCCCACGGCTTTCACCATTATTTCCTTTCTCTCTCACTCCAAACAAAACAAAAACAACCGGAAAACAAACCAAACCACTCTCTCCCACTCCTTCAGCTTCCGCCGTTGTTTTCCGCTGCTGTCGCCGTCGCTACGCAGTGCGATTTGGCGGCGGTTGAGTATCAGATGGGGAAGTACATGAAGAAGGCGAAGCCAAAGGGAGAGCTGGCGCTTGTGGAATCCACCACCACCAACGCCACCACCTCCTACATGGGAGTTCGAACCCGCGCCAAAACCCTAGCGCTTCAGAAATCACACCCTCAGCCCGAACTAGCTCCCTCATCCGATTCCTACCTCCAGCTCCGGAGTCGTCGCCTCCAGAAGCCTCCGATTTTGCTTCACTCTCCCAGGCGGAACAAACACCCGAACCCTAAATCACCAATCCCTGAACCTGCCAGGCTCGGACTCGCTTCGGAGCACGACGCTGCGCTCACAGCGCGCAGCCACAAGGAGGAGAGTGCTTTGCATGAGAATGCTGAGGTGCAGGAAGCGTCGTTTGGGGAGAATGTTTTGGATTTTGAAGGTAGAGATAGGTGGGTCTTCCTTCCCTTTTTCAAATTTAACTCGAATTTGTTTCGATTTTTGAACTATTAAATATGTCTACGGTTTTTTTTTGTTTAATTTTTGTTACCATTTCGCGATTTGCTTGGGAAAACAAATTTCAAGTTTGTGAATGCCCTATATTTTGGGGGTATTGTTTATTTTTGCGATTTGTCCTGGTTGGAAGGAGTGTGAGGGGGCAAAGTACTAAAACGTGAATATGAAACTCTTTTTTTTTGCTTCCCCTCTGGATTTGCGGTGGATTGTTCAGTTGAGTTGACGTTGTTTTGAAAGGCAAAGGTTTTTTGTAGCAATTTATTAAGCTTCTTGGCCTTGTCCGCCGCAATGTAATTCGATTCCTTTCCGGAATATGTGCCCTAAAGATTATTGAATGCCGGAATTTTGTGTTCTCGTTTAACGGTTGTGTTGTGTTCCTTTTTTTGTGGTATGAGGATTTCCTTCAAAGTTTGTTCAGTTATGCGTGCAATTTCTGTGACATTTTTGGGCAATTTGTTTTTTGTTGAATTTCTTTATTATCATCTATGATATTTTCATCAATTCAGGGTTCCAAGGTAGAAATATGTTTTGTTTTCTCTTCCTAGAAAGCTTTTAATATAAGTCCCTATATCGGAAGGTCGTGTGACCATTTTCAGTGTACATTTTCTCTTGGTATCCACTGAAAATGCTTCCTATTTGAAGATGTTAATTAGAAAATAGTCTACAAAATTTATTCCACCATGATACTTCATTTTTTATACCCGTTTGTTTTTATTGGTAGGAAATGTTGGTATTTGATAAAAATGTCAGAAAGTTCACACCTTTTTTTTTTATCATTGTGGTCTTTTTACTCGTTTCATCAACTATGTATTGAAATATTTCAATAATTTCTCCTCATGAGACATTAATTTTGTATACTATTATTTTTATTATTATATTAATTATAACAGCTGTGTAGATGGAGAAAAAAAAAAACTCCATTCTCATTCAGTTTTCTTTTTTATCTACTGAGAGAATGACGGGACATGCACAAACTATGGAGAGAAGGGATAGTCATTACGCAACGTCCATTTTCCTCCAAACTCCCTTCATATTTTATTTATGTTGAATATTCTCATAACTGAATCGTTATATGTACAATGAATTTGTAACTGTGTTCTTTGGCTTTAAATGTTGTGCTGGTCAGCCTTCAATTTATGAGCAATATTCTTTTTACCGTTTTAAGGCTGACTTGGTCTTACGTGAAATATTGTTAGGGTATTACCTTATTCTTTGCCATTAAAACACTTTAATTTTTTAGTGATTCTTATCTAGTAGTTTGGTTTAAATTGCTATTTGTTGGAATTTGCAATGTTTAATTTTATGTTTATTATTTGCTGTAGAAGCACTCGAGAATCCACACCTTGCAGTTTGATAAGGGACCCTGATACTGTCAGAACACCCGGTTCAACTACCAGGCCTACTTGCTCAACTGATGCTAATCGAAGAACCGAGCATGCAAATAGAAGGCAAATCCCAACTTCACGCGAAATGGATGAATTCTTTGCTGAAGTTGAAGAGGCCCAGCAAAGGAAGTTCATTGAGAAGTATGCTTTAGTGGTTTTATTGGTTTTCTTATTTCTTTCTTGTTCAATCTCTGTTACATATGTCCACGAGCACATTAATATATAATGTGAGTTCATTGCAGATACAACTTTGATCCTGTGAATGAGAAGCCACTCCCAGGGCGTTTTGAATGGGAAAAGTTGAAACCCTAGAAGGACGGTGTAGTGTTCCATCAAGACATCTTTGAAGTAGCAGCAGGGGTAGAATTTGTTGAAGCGGTGGTGGCGATATTTCCCTTTTCCATCACCTTCTATTTACATGTAAAGAAAGTAGGAGTCTTAAACTGTGTAGACTAATGGTCTGTAACTTTACAGAGGTGATGATTACACAACAATACAAATCAAAGTCCTTTGTCTAACAGATCATTTTAAGGGGGCAAGGGAAGGGACCGTAGCGCGTAGGATTAGGGATAAGTCAAATTAGGTCAGTATGAGGTACAGGAATTTACTTAGGTTTTCTCTTGTTCTTGTATTTTACTTATCTTTATCTTTGTCTATACTTGTACTGATGGAACTTGAACAAACTTTTAGAAATAAAGACCCGATTCCCCCACCTAAATTTCTGTCACTTCCTGTGCCATCCGTCTTCTGCTTTATAATATATTTTTGGTCTTATTTCCGATCAAGACATTGAATCTTTCATTTGTTTTTAGATGACACTAGCTGTTTGTTTCTGTGGTCCTTAGCAATATTGCTTAAATCTGGTGGTCTTTTAATCGTCGTAAAGTGGTGGGGCAAAGCTAACATGGAATGTTTTGTCTTCTCTGTTATCATATAATCACGAATGACTTTATAACATTTAATAACCTGACATCGTGGGAGACATTTGCAAACTGGAAAATGATGCATGGCCAGATTCAGTATCCAAGCATAATTTCATCCTTTCTTATGGAACTTATTATTCGCCTTACTGCCTTATAATTTAATTTACTATTTTTTGGATTCTTTCTGTAAACTTGAAGACTTGGTCATGGTCACTTTGAATAGAGCGTGTTTGACAAGTTATTTAAGTTGGTTTGTGATTTATTTTACTACTTTTCTACTATTGGATCCGTATCGATTTTATTCAAAAATCAAGTTAATTTTTAATTTACAGGAAAACTAGTATTATCAACTTTAGAGTTTTTTTTCCCATGAAATATATAGAATTGAACTAGCTTTCAATTCAGTATCCATCTCTCACCATCAAATGATATGTAAAAATTACTATTATCCCCTCTTTGAAATAAGGGCACTTCCAATGATGCTACTTTAATTTTTTTCTTCTTATCCACTTAGAGAGAGAGTCTTCAACTCTGTTCTCTATATATCATTACATACCCTACAAAATACAACAATGATGCAAATGATTCTTACTTTCCACCCTTAGAAGGAATCAACCTTTGAAAGTAAGCCAAACAAGTACCCTTTGTCCATCCAAATGTCATAAAAAAGTTCAGTTTGATCTCACGTTGAAGAAAATAAAATTAAATGTTTTCATAATATTATTAAGAAAATATTGTCCATTTTGACTTTTATTGCAGTTTAGTCTTTAAATAAATTTAAAAAAAAAATAAAAAATGGAGAATATAAGATAAAAACTATTTATTTTTTGTTCTCATCAATGCTCAAATAAAAATACACCTAGAGATGTCTAGGGAAGCATGTCTTGAAAAGCTTTTACAGTGTCATAATTCTCTCCTTTTGTCCACTTTTCATGTTACACAAACTAATTTTCAAAACCAAAAAATTCGCCATAGTGTTTTTTTTTTCTTTTTCTTGTTATAGAGACATTATTGGCAATGGTTTCTCTTGAAGAAAATTACATATTACCCAATGTGTGAATGGTGTTGGTGTTTTTTATTTTGAGATTGAAAAGGATATTATTGGCAGTTTATTTGAAGAGAAACGTGTGATGATTATTAAATTATGAACAGGGTGTTCCATTTAGGAGCCCAATGTGAGAGTCCCCATAGAGTCAAAGGAGAAATGATAGGAGAGTTTGTTTGTTTGTGAAGTGTTTTCCCGTGGGTGAAGAAATCATGAATACCCATTTGAATTTACACTTAGGGAATATTAATATTTCCTTTCCACGCATATTTTTGCAAAAGGAACAAGAGATCTCATTGGGAACTGCAGATTCTTCACTCATAACACCAACAACCACCCACTGTTCCAATCACAACACTGCTCATGTGTGAACCACATTTTCTTAAGAATATGCACAATAATCACTTGACTTTGGTCTCCAATGAATATAATGAATATTGTTAATTAAAAAATTCCAAACTTTTTATATTATAAACTATTAAGAAGTAGTATTTAATAGTACATTTGTGTTCTCAAAATAAATTTGGCTTGAATTCAAATCAGAATAAAAAAATTAAAATTTTGATATAAATTAATCATGATTGTTTTTTAATTATATTTAGATTTTAAAATAATTTTGTATTATATTATATCTTTTTATTTTAAATTGTTTCTAATATTTAATATAATTTTATATTAAAATTGATTTAAATTTGAATTAGAAAAATAATTGTTATTTATTTTTAATTAAAAAAATTATAATTAAGTTAACGTGAATTTTTTAACTCACCAATTCATCGTATGTCATACCAAATTTGAATTTTTTTTAAATTTATTAATAAATGAATTAGATTTAATTGACTTATTAACTAATTAAGATGTGATATGTCACATCTAATTGGATAACTTATTTTAACAACAGTAATCTCATTACTGTAGAATTGATAAATTTGTATACAAAAATTATATTTATTTTTTTTATAAATTAAATTTATTTCTAGTTAATACTAGACTTTCAACACGCATAATTCTGTTAGAGTCTAGATTCTCAATTAAAATTTATGTTTTTTTTTCTGAGTTTTTAAAATATATTGATATTAATATATTAAAAATGTTTAATATATTTTAAAACATTAAAATTAATGTTTAGGATTGTGTTTTGTAAACAAAATGCAATATTCAAACTGATGTTTCTATCTCAAATTTATTGAAATGATATTTAAAATCAATGGTTATATTTAAGGAATTATCTGTTTTAAAAGATTAAAATTATTCTCCATAAAAAGATACATTAAAAAAAACATTTAAATTGTTTTCCTAACATCTAAATAATAACACAACGTTATCATAATACATAGGAATAATGTAAAATTGAATCTCATAACTGCTTTCTTGGCGTTCCTGGTTCTTTCAGTTTGGTGACTGAGTGAAGAACTTTTGTGTTTTTTTGGTTTGATTTTGTTCAACTTTTCATTCGATTGCGTACTTGAAAAAATATAGCATTCAGTAGATAGCAAAAGTTTGATTCCGCCGTGACAGAAAACATCATGGGAACTTTTGTTGGCACTCATTGACATACCTTCAGTAAAACGATGAATAATGATAATCTAAATCTGCTTATGTTAGAAAGAAATTCTTAGAAAATCTTATACCTTGCACTTGCATGTGTGAATATCCATTATTCGTAATAAAAAAATTTAAATACTTTTATATTAAGGTAATTAAATTACATTTTTTAATTCAAAAATGTATATCAATAAAATACTATTTTTTTACCTTTTTAAATTATTCACATATAAAAGTGTGAAGTTGTTGAAAATAAACAATAATTAATTTTTTTGTTTTTATTTTATTCAAAAAAAATCATGCTTGTCATTTTAGTTATACTTTGAATGTTAGGAGAAAAGCAACAAAAAAAGGCAATAGAAAAAGGAAATGTCACAAGATCCTATGTCTCTTATGGGAATTATATGACTTTGGCATATTTAAAAGTTTTACAGTATTTTGCTCATTGCAATACAGAATACAATATTCTTTAATATTATATAATCTGAAACTAAAACGTTTCCCTCAAATGGAAATGGTAGAAAATCGGTATAATATACTCTTAAATTAACTGATAACTATAAAAGGATATAAAAGGAAATGTTTATATATGTATTCGCAGTATATCTTATTTTATAGATAACTTATATTCAATTAAATATAGCTTTTAATTATTTTAAACTCGTACCGTTATTTATTTAATGGTCAATTGTTAATTAACAATTAGAAAATGTAACAATTAAAAAGTTAATATGAGTAAAAAAATTAGTAAAATAGATTATATGCATGTAATGTAAGGTTAACTGTTAGTAAAACCGAAGACAAACATCGTTTGGATGTGAATTAGAATGTTAACAAAAACTAACTTATTAACGCTGATATTAAAGAATAAAATTAATTATATTTATTAAATTATAAAATATAAAGTTAATATTAAATTGTTTATATATATATATATATATATATATATATATATATATATATATATATATATATTAAACCACCTCAAAAATTAAAGTAGCATAATTGGAAGTGTCCTTATTTAGAATGCAGTGTTAAGAGTGTTAAAATGGACTATAACATGCGGACTAGTCCTTCAGCCTGTTAAAATAAGAGTTGAATTTTTCAATTTATCAGTTCCTTATGACTTAACCTATTTAGCTTTTCAAATTAGGCTAGTCAACTCACTTTATTGACTTTATTTAATTTTAAAATTAAAATAGAAATAATTTAAAAAATAATTTTTTTATACTATAGTTTTAAAGATGAAATATGAAATGATATTATAATTTAAATGATTAATATTTATAATTTTTTATAATAAAATAATTTAACATGTAATGTAATCATTATTTCAATTTATCTAATTAAAAAATTTAATTAATCAAATAAAAGTTTAGAAAATATGTATATAATTAAATATACTTTCAATATGTACTTATGTGTGTATATATATAAACAAATTTAAAAAATAAAAAGTTAAAACAAAAATTAAAATAAATAAAAAATGAGCTAGTTTATCAACTTGACAAGACGAATTATAATTTTTGACCTATTCTTTTTATGATCAATTTGATTCATTTATTATTTTGGTGAGATAAAAACAAATCAGGCTAGAACAGGTTGAATGAATCCGTTTTGTTACTTTTATGTACAATTTTCTCTAAATTATTATATATTTTTGTTTTTTAATATGTATTTCGTCCATTGTTCTTGCCTTCAGTAAAAAAAAATACTTTCGATTTACTGATCTATTTCTTATAGTTTATAAAACGTTCCTAAAAACTCGAATATTATAATAATGAGTTGTTTATAATATTTTATTTATTGCAATATATATATATATATATAAACAACTCTAAAAAATGTATATTTAGAGGAAATACTAACGTTACTCACGTCCTTTTACATACCTCAATCAAGTGGTCAACTGATATTTTTATTAAAAATTAAAAACATAATACAAATGTTACATTAGTAATCATAATAATTAATAATATCAATCCATGTCAAACACTTTCAATAAATTGAGTAAACATTGATTGTTTAGTATTAAACTCAAACTAGTTAAGCTCTTTTGAAAGTTCAATAATCTATCATACTTTCGTATGGATTCGTTTGACAACCTTGAACGAGTCGGTGACGTTTACATTTTCAAATAGAATATTATTTTCAAACAGAGTATTAGTGACTCACATTTATGTTAATGTATGAAAGTGCATCAACTTTTTACTACATAATGTTTGTTTATTTGACTTATTATCCCATTAAAGTACACATATAAGTCTTTTAATTTAATGTTTACAATCCATTTCAATATATTGAAACATATCAAATATCACATTTATACTATTTATATCACACCCAGCGATTACAATAAAAAAAAACTTTGAATTTAACATCATTTATTAAATAATATTTTTTTTCCATCTAATTAAGTAACTATAATAATTGTCAACCAAATTTCTAAGTTATTTATATAATAAATATAATTTTTTATAAGGTTTTCGTTGTTTAAATACTCAAATTCTTGGTTAGTAAATTATAATTTTGTTTGGTGTACTATATGGATGAGACCATCAAAGAGGACAATCAATCCCAATAAATTACAATAAACATGCACCGTCCAACTAAGATAAATAAATATTGCTTATTAATTGACCGCACGGTCATAGGGATAAGAGATCAGACATACGACATATAGCAATAAAGACCCCTAAACATCGTTTCTAATCAAAGTTACTTAATGAAGAACATGTCATGATTGGGTCGTGATTAAAATTTCACTAATCACAAACCCATTTATAAGAGTTAGAGTGACTTTAACATATACATCGAAACGGTTTAAAGCTTGAACAGAAAGACTTTGACTAAGACATTTAGAATACCTAAGCTAAGTGTAAAAGAATGTTTTGTAGAGATCCTCAACTCTACACCTAAAACATTTGAGTAGGAGAATTATTTCTCAAAGAAAAATATTTTCTTACAAGGATAATTGTTTCATCTTGATTTTCACTTGACCAATAAGCAATTTCTTTGAACAACAAAAATTACACCTACGAGTTGTCTTGTTTTATTTTCACAAATTAAAATAATGTATCATTTGAAAGACATGCAAAACAAGAAAAAAAAATTATATAATACCTAAAAAACCTTTCAAAATCTATCCAAAATACACTCTATTAATTCAATAATTTCTAACAAGTTTATAATATCATCTTACACTACAGCATCAATTCATATTTCACTTTAACAAGTTTATATTCAAAACAGTTACTTTCCAATAACAAGAATAACAAAATATCATAAATAAATTTGATTTAATTATAAACTAATAATTATTAACATTAAAAATTTAATAGGTTTGCGCATTGTAAGGTTATTACACAATTAGCTAAAATTTTATATTGAAAATCTTTGGTAGATATTTACAATTAGGTTATCCGATAATTTCAAGAACCACATAATCATCTTTGTCAATCAAGGACTCATTGTCGAGATCCTGAAATTCACTGGAACATAAGCACCCAATGTGATCAAATGCCCTTTCAATAGTTATTTTTATTAGCAATGACGTATATAATTTTTTAAAAAAGAAAAGAAAAAAGAGAGTAAAATTTTGTAGAAAAAGCAAGTACTGTATGAGAAAAATATAGCACTACACAAATTAAGAGATTAAAAAATCAACATAAAATAAAATCAAAGACGGATCAGCTTGATGAAATTTAAAATTCTTTTATATCTAAGGATTCTTGGGTATATTCTTCTTCTTTTACTCAAAGTGTGAATTTCCAATTTTTTTTTCTGAATTTTTTTCAAACTTAATTTTAGTCACTGAATTAGTTATTGAGTTAAAAAAATATGTGAATTTAATGATATTTTCAATTTAAGAGTAAATGTTTTTAATAAATATTAAATTAAATGATAAAAAATAATTTATCTATTTTAAAAAAATTAGAAATAAGTAGTTTGGATTGTAATGTACTAAAGAATATTGAGTCTGTGAAATTCAAAAATCTGTGTTGTGGTGCATCTTCTCTTTCCCGCCTTCAGTCACAGACAGATCTGATGGTATGGAACCCTAATGGACGACAGAAAATACGTTGAACTGTACCAAAGACTCTCCAACGCCACCGTTCCAGATCCAATTTTCGCAGGCAAAGACCATCGCGGCGTCTGCGAAAACCTCTTCAACCAACTCCACTCCATCTTCCGCCGATTCTTCTCGGCTCTTCCTTTGTGCCACCGCCATGACCTTCACTATCGGTTCCATCCGCTTCCGCATTCGGAGCTGTGGCCAATTGTTGAAGAATTTTCTCTCATTCTGCGCTGCTGTCTTCTTCTCCTAACGCTCCCGCACTCCTGTCAGAAGTTTTTCCTTCTCAAGTGCCGCTATCTTTTTCGCATTCTCAATTCCTTTCTCTCTGTCCATGTCACCGAACATCGCAGCGTGCGCTTTAGCAACTTCCTCACCGACGTGGACTTGGACTTCGATGATTATTGTCGTCCGTTTCTGCTCGCGCTGCTTGAGGTGGGTTTCATGTTGACATAGTTAATATCGTAATATAGCTATATGCTCCAATTATCGGGTTAAGGTTAGCTTATATGATTATGGATTTGGTTCCTAATTGGCTGTTGCTTTTGTTTATTTAGTTTTTAAATCTATAATTCTGTTATCATTTTCTTGTAGATTTGGAACCTTTTTGAAAATACTTCTTCTTAAGTACTTACTGTAGGAAAAAAAACAAGAAGGTAGAATGAGTTGTACTTAGTTCGTTATTAGAATTGACCGTTTCACTTACAAGTGCACCCGGAGCCAATGCAAAGGGTTTGGTTAAGATATGCCAGATTCCACCAAATATACAAATGGAACCCAACCATACATGCCCTCCAATAATATCTTCCAAGCTTTTCGATATTTTAGCTGAGAAAGCTGTCTATAAAAAGCTGTTGATTTTAGTTTTTTTTTTTTTTCACTTAGAGGAGATGATAGATTCATTTATATTTTATGAAGATTTTTACCTAAACAGAACCTTAGTATAGAATATTAAGTGGATGTGATAAACATTTTTTTCAGAGGCTGCGTAAAGTAAAGTTTCTATTTATTTTTTGTGTGGATCTAACAATGTTAGACTGTGGGCTAAACACTTTTTTCTTAAGCTGTTTGATGTAAAGTTTTCCTCTTTTTGGTTTCTTCTGATATTTTCCTTTTCCTTTTTAATCTGAATAATTTTTAGTTGATTCGAGTTTGTCAAATAACCATTATTATCTTGCCTCTGACATGACCAAGTCAGCTTGGAGCCCAAGAAAACTTTGTTTCATTTTCTCTCATGTAATGCAATTGTTTCCATCATTCTCATTTCTTGTATGTATGTGTTTTTCACTTTGGATTCCACATAAACCATTTATTTTTGTCCCCACATTTCCAATCTGCTGCCTACGTGCAACCAAGATGGAAAGCTGTAATGTGGCAATGGGCAATGGGATTCTGCTTTCAGTTTAATGGTAAAATCATCTGCTTTCTGGAAATAAAAGGGAAATCACTAAATGGAAAATAGCTTTTGTTTCATCAGCTAATTTAAGTTTTTAGTTCCAGTTTGTATGAGACCAAAAGTCTATGTGGTAGTTCTATTAAATTATTAATGATTGTTACAAAAGTTTTTTTTGTCCAGTGCTTTAGGCTCCCACCTATTATTGTCAGGGAGATTGTTCCAGGATTTGAACTTGTAACTTTCAGGTCACCAGACAACAATCTACCGCTGTGCTAAATCTTGTCCCTCTAGTTTTGTGCATTTTAAACATCTGCCACATAGAAATTTGTATAGGATTCTTACCGGAGTTCTATTAATCTAAACTTGAACATGTTATCTCAGGTATTTGCAGATGAACTTTTAAGACACCAGCCGTTGAGAAGGTATCTTATGATGGTTGATTCAGTATCTTCTATCCATGAAAAGCTTTTCGTGTGTCATTTCAACCAAGGTGATATTGCCATTGTCCTGGAGGTGTTATCTTCTCATTTCATCCTGTCAGTTTCTAATGAGAAAGCAGTTGAGGATTTCACAGTTAGATTATTTTTACGTTGTGATAAGGATTTCAGATTTCCTGAACTTAGTATTGGGCCCTCCATTGTGTTGTTACATGACCCTGTTGTGCTCTCTGCACCAAAGATGTTCCAGGCACACATAGTTTCAACGGTTTCTGAAGCCATTGGTTCTGGCTTATCTTCCGAGCCTTTAGCCAATTTCCAGCTTATAGCACTGCAAAAATCTGTTATCTTGTACTCTACACACGTGTCTAGTTTGCAAATAGATGGCTTTCATGTTGAATCAAAATGCTCCAACTCACACCTTCTTGACAGAGGTCAGCTAAAATTTGAATCGTATATCCGGCATGGCACCAGAAACAGATTAAATAAAGTCTTATCAAAGTTAGATGATTCATGGGATTCTTATCAATGCAAATTGTTTTCCAAGACAAAAACGGATCTTTTGACTGAGTATATTGCATTTATGAAGGAGAGACAGTACCTATTTGATGATTCGTTAAGGAAAGGGATTACCTCAATCTTAAATTGCCTAATCCATCAAGCCTTCTCTCAAGAGGCCACTGGAGTATACACTATAAAGGAAAACACTAGTGCACAAGATATATGTCTTCTTGCATCCATATTGAAGATGATGAGTGTTTCATTGCATCAAGCAGTTAAGTATCTACGTAATAGTGGTGATTCAGATTGTTTGAAAACCATGAAAAGTGCCACTGTGCATGGGAAATATGATTTCTTGATCAGCATCTTTGACTATTTTCGACAGTTTAAGATCTGTTTACCAATTCAAAGTTTCTTGTATGATGAGATGAAAAGTCAGAAATCAAATTACAAAGTCTCCGAGGCATTGCTCGTGCACTTCACAGGCTTGCTATCATTAAGTTTTAACAATGGACTTGAATTGTTGGCAAAGGGGTGTATATCCGTACTTATGGCATTGATGTATCTGTTTGTTTTTGAAGAGGGGGATTTACTTGCTTTGGAATCATTGAAGGGTCCGTCATTACAACCTTGCTTGTCTGAAATTTCATGTCATAAGAGTGGAAAGGTGAATTGTGTGTCTTTGGTTCTCACGAACTTGAATTAAGTTTATATTTCATTCTAAATTGTTGGTAAATTTTGCAGGGTGCAAGAGATAACCAATCTGTCTATGAAGTTGTAGCAGAGTTTCGGAGAATTCAATCATGTAATTTGAGGTACGTATTGTATCTATATTTTTCTAGGCTTTACATGGTGTTGTCTTTTCCAGTCACAGATTCTCAATTTCTCTATTGAAGAATGTAATTTGAGGCTTGCTTAATGGGTGCTTGAGTAGCCATCTTAAGTTCAATTCATTGTTATGCCCAAGGAAACAACACTCTGTAGGGTATAGTTAGAGGCCCACTAAATTTTGCTGTTTTTGACAAGGAGCAGTTGTGTTCTGTCCTAGTTATGGCCTCTTTAAAAACTTGAAAGATTACCCTTTATTTGATTAAATTATACTGCATATTCTCTTATCTTGGAATTTTGGGGAATATTTAGATCTTGAGGAACTTCATTTAGTTTAGTGCATTAATGGTACACTGAGTTTGAGGGATTCCATTTAGTTTAATTTAACTGTGGTTCCACTTGTGATATATAGATTGCATGAATTATTATTGTGTTATTTTATTCATGCATTTTTTTCCCACCCAAATATTGTAACAAACATTATTCAATCAAGTGATGAGGGCTAGCTCTAGTGGAATGTCTTGGGCTCGCTTTGGGTTAGGGATCCTTCATTCTTTGCTTATACCGTTGTGTCTCATGAACATGGCAACCTTCCCTTAGCTTCCCATAAACTTTTTCTCTGACCCCCAAAAATTGATGATTATGCAATGGATTCATAAGCTCCACTGAAATGAAGTGACAAATATCTTATATTTCCTCAAATTTTTGTGATGAAGTAGACATGTTTTGTGTGAATAAGTTGACCTTTCATTTTTAATACTATTCCTCTTTTGTGCTTTTTCTGAATCATCCTGTATTTTTCAGAACGGATTCCTTCACCTCCTGTAACGACGATAATGAAACAAAGAAAACCTGCAATGGGGAAATGTTTCTTAATTGCATATTAGGAGACCCCAAAAAATTATCCGATTATGATGAACTTGCAGATTTCCTTGAGTGTAAGACTGGGAAAGATTATTCCAAGTGGATGAATAGGCGCGAAATATATAGAGATAAGAGGTATCAGAAAAAACTAGAATTAAGGAAGACTATGAAGAAAACTGTCCGGAAGTCTTGTCGGTTTAAAAACAATGGTCAGTCCTTCAAGGGACAGAAAAATTGAATGTTTGTAAAGTATTGGAGGTGATAGATGCAATCCACCTTTGGCCCTTGTACATGTAAATGAATTATTTACTTTTTTTAGCTCTTCATTCTTGGCCATATTTTTGTACATGGATTTATATTTAGGTTTGCTCAGTGGTTTTGGTAAGAGAAAAACATTTAAATGGAACTTCCTATCTAACATAAGATAAATGTTTCAGAAAAATAATTTAGTACAATAGATAAAGAAGTTCTTATATATATATATATATATGTAAAGGTTGGCAAATTGATGACGACATCATACTTTATTTTTTTCTTTATAAAATTATAATCCATCTCAATGTGTGTGGTTTTATAAAAGATATGATTAGAGGTAATATGTAATGTTGTTTGGTTGTCATATACGAGGTATATTCGGATTTTTTTTAAAATTTAAGCTATTTGAAGAGTTTTTTAATCATATGAACTAACTGTGACGAATGTTATTGTTGTGTATTATGAATTTTCATTTGATTTTATCGTAACATTTTATTTGTTACCTTATCAAGCAAGATTTTAAATTACCTTAAACAAAAATGCAATATCTTGAATTGGAGTGTTTATTACTCGGTGACCTTACTCAGTTACAATAAAAATAACTAATAATTTGAATATTATTTTTATAAACGAGGCATTTTTTAGAAACCAGTTTAATAAAGTTTGGGATCTATTAGACACTATTGTAATAATAAACAATGAGAGTTTAAAAGTTGACTTATTGTATTGAGATAATTTAATTTATTCACTAACCTTGAGTATCTCTTAGGCTTAGAGTAAAGTTTTCTTCTAAGTCATGTATAAGTTTGACACTTAAATTTATTAGTATGTCTAGAAACTTTAATATTTATTTATTTTCTTTCGTTAAAATGTCAGGAAAATTTTTTTCTTTAAATATAACAAACCATTATTAGATCATCTCACTTTAATACTAAGAAAAATATATCAAGTTTATAAGATCTTTTGTTCGAAACTTTTGAACAAGGTATTGTTTTAATTATACATTACTCTCGTTATCACTACCTGTAATATATGATAACAATGGTATTTACATATACAATAATACATATATCCTTTGAGAGGATGACGAAATAACAAAGAAAGAATTACCAACATTCCTTCATATCATTCCAAATTGCTAGATAACCATTTCAAAATGTTCAAACCATAAACAGATTGATTCTTTGAGGTCTTACGGAAACATCATAGGCAACATACCATACTTATTTAAATTAAAAATTGAGATAAGAAGTGGGTATTGTAATTTCTTTTGAATTATTTTATGTGATGATAATGCATCAGTTTGAAATTGAATTAAAAAGATTTTGAAAGAATTAGTCAATGAAAAAATGAGTTTTGTGTTTATATAATAGTTATTTTTACACTATTCAAAAAATACTCAAACAAGATAATAAATTATTTTAAAGATTTATTGATATACTTTTTTCAAAGACTGTCCTGTAAAACCTATTAACCATTCATTTATCATTTGTATGTAAATATAAAAGGAAATGCTAAACCAACCTTATTTATTCAGATGAAATTATTAAAAGTGAGAAAGTAAAATAAAAGAAAAAAAAAGTGAGAAATTAAGATTGCTTAAATTATAAAAAAGAAGATGAAATAAATTTATTTATGATCTTAATAAATAAAACATGAAAGTTCTATAAAGACTTACTATATAATAAATTATATTTTTAACATTTCCATAATGAATTATATTTTTTTAGGTAAATGATTGTATCTTCCAAATAATGTAATATATCACATAAATACATATTAATAATAATAATAATAAAATATTTATGATATAATTAGTTATTTGTTTTATTTAGACTATTATGTAATCTAAATATTAATAAAATAACTAATTTGTTTACTTTTCATCACAAAATTTATTGAATTTTGTATGGAAAGTTGCTCTTTGTTCTTATCAGTCGCGTTTTCACAATTTCATTGAAAGTAAAATGATTTGGTACGTTTTTCTAATACATTCTTTCCTCTATGTACATAAACATACAAAAGATTGATGTGTAGTTTGAAGTGAAACATCATTAGACTATGATACATGTGGTCAACATGGTGAAACATTAGAATAATAAGAAGTATGTAGTTGATTGTTTCGTTCACAAATTACATTAAAAAATAATTCTATAACAAATACATTTAAATCCTTCAGTCCACGAAAGAAAAAAATATATTTACTTTACAAATTAATTTTATAAAAAATACATTTAAATGCTCTTTGTGACGTGTTAAAAAAATATAACAGAATAAATATGACAATAAAAAAGAGAGAAGAAAAAAATAAAAGAAAGAAAAAGAATAAACATGTAAACCGTATCCCTTATTTGTCTCTCCATGTCCTTTTATCGTGTTATTGTTCTTTTTTTTTTTATTTCAATTTTTTTGTTCAATTTTCAAATATTTCCATACCACGTTTAAATTGAAAAGCTAAAAGGTATTTTTGAACGAATCAAATTTAGAAACGAAGTAAGTTTTACTTATTTTATAGAATTATTTTTTAATAATTAATTTTAGTAAATTTTAATAAATGATAAGTGTGATAATTATCTATTATTTATATTTAGTAAAATCTCTTATTTATCTTTAGATGTAAGTATATAGTTGTTATAGAGATAAATACTTGTATGTTTTTGGATTATTTTGTAGGAATTTGAAAAAATTGGAGGATATTAAAGAGATAAATACTTATAAATTTTTGAAAATAATTAAATAGCATTGATTAAAAACTAACAAAAATAGGCAATTAATTTAAAAAAAGTAAAATTACAGTTATAATCTGTTTCAAGTTCTTTTTGCGTGGACACATGTAATAATACTTTAAAATGATTTAGTAATATCTAACTTGTCTGTTTTACGTACCCATATCATGAACTTTTCTACTTGTTTTTCACAATCCCTAAAAGATAATTTGACAATATTTTTTTGACAACATTTTAACACTGTCTACGTGTCACTCTGTTATTAATCCAAAATTATTCCACAATCAATAATAATAATTATAAACACTAATATAAATCAATAACAAAATGATACATAAATAGTGTTAAAATGTTGTCAAAAAAATATTGTCAAAAGTATCATTATCCTTTCTCACGTACAACGGCACTGAGAGATAAAAAGTTCCACGTCAGACTCTCACGAAAACGGAAAAACACATGTTTAACGTTTCCTCTTCATTATATTTTAATTTCATTATTATATAGTTAGTGTTAAAGTCTTTAATAGGTTCCTTAATTGAAAATTATAATTAGTTTTATACATTAATCTGTAACTAGGTTTTTGAAGAAACAGCAAATTCAAATATTTCTGACAAATTTAAATTGTCATCAAAAGATTCAATTATAAAATCTGTACAAAATCAGTAATCTAATCACAATAGTTTAATATAAATAATTAACTATTATTTTTTTTCCAAATAATTCAGACAATTTAACCTATAACCAACTTATTATTGTCATTAAAAGGTATGTTTAGCTTGGCATTAGAAAGTAAACTGAGAACAGAGCAATTAATAAAAGGAAGAGCTCTAACAAACAAACCCATGAAATGACTAACTTGGTGTGATCAGAATTCAAACCAAAGAATGGTGGGGCTGTAACTCTATTCCATTCTCATGGCACCATCATCGCCTCCGCCGTCCGACAATTCCGACGCCGAGGGCCGTCTCCGCGAAGCGGAGGAGCGCCTCCGTGACGCCATCGAGGAGCTCCAGCGGCGGCAGCGCCGGGCCGCCGCTCATGCTCAGCACCACCTCCGTGTGGAATCGCCTCCCTGCGATCATGGCCCCGACGAATCATGCGTCGCTCACGCCATTGGCAACCTCTGTCAGACCTTTCTTCTCTCCTATGGCGTCAGAGTCGGCATTGGTATACTTCTCCGCGCCTTCAAGCTCGTTCGGAGGCAGTCCTACTCCTCTCTCCTCGATCTCAAGGTTAGTTAAAATCAAATTAGGGTTCCTAATTTTCCTTCAATAACAACATTGATTTCTTACTCGAATAAAATCTCCTCCTCGTGTCAGATTTGAGGTTTGTTTGTTTATCTGAAACATTTTCTCTTAAAATTTGGTCGTGTTTTGATCGGAATGAGCAGAAAGTAACAGAATCGTCGTTTAGGAGTAGCTTAAAGCGGAATTTAAAGCAATTGAGATTTCATATTCTTTATTTTAATATATTTTATTGAAATTGATCCAGCATATGTTATTCACTTCGGTTCAATACTTTTGTAGCTAATATTATTGAGTGAAACTGTGTAGCTTTAAATTTTTGTTAGGTAATATGTATATTGCGTGGAAGTATTGACAGTATTGTTGTAGATGTTAGTATTTCGGTATTTGTAAGTGGAGAATGTGAGTTTATGGATGTTGTTTTTCGTTGTTTGCAGCAACTTGTTTCAGAGAAAGATCTAATAGTAAGGGAAGAAGCATGCCGAATTGGTTTACTTTTTGGTGGTTTCACTGGATCTTATCATGCTCTTAGATGTTTGTTGCGTAAATTGAGAAAGAAAGAGACACCACTTAATGCGTAAGTTCCAAGTCGAACCACTTCCTGGATTTATTCTTCTAGCTTTTCTATTCGAATGATTTATTTTATTTTTTGAGTTTTTGTTCATCTATATTTAAAATACTTGGATATTGTTGTATGCTGTTTGTGTTTGCACCTGTTGCTTATTTATGACTTTGTTTAGGGCGATGATGGTGCAGAATTTTAGCAGGTTCAATAGCTGGTTTTTCAATTTTGGCGTTGAATGATTCAAATAGGAGACGTACACTGGCTTTGTACCTGTTGGCTAGGCTGGCCCAGGTATTCTAAAGTGCATCCCCAAAATGATTTCTAAGCAATCTGACTTCCGTGGATGTATTTAATGCATTTTTAGCCTTTTGTAAACGATTTGCATATGCCAGGCTAATGCATATTCTTATATACTAGTGTGCTTATAACTCTGCAAAGTCTAAGAACAAGTTTCACCTTTGGGGGAGTCATTGGAGGCATGGAGATTCATTGCTGTTTGCTATTGCTTGTGCTCAGGTATTTAATCCTCACTCTGAATTTTCGGGCCAGGTTTTACCGTTAACTATCACTTTGTAATCTTTTTGTATGCCTGATAATTGATATTGGTAAAATAACAATAAAACTAGTATGAAGCATTTTTATAGATATGAACAAGAATGTTATTTGATGCAAAAGCTTTATTGTTATAAAACTTCATAGCCAATCCTGGTGAGAGAAAAAAATGAACGGTTGCTGGACAAAATATAACACTTTTTACTTTTATCACAAGTCATTTCACAATAACACGTTTCTACCATTTAGCACTTTCTTATAATTAGTTGGGACACTCCTCGCGGGAATGTTTATTCCGTAATTGTCTTAATATATCCCATGTGGCTGATTCCTCTTATGCCAAAAATGTTAAGTAAATTACCTTGTATAACTACTAGTTAATATCTTAAACTTGATTGTTTCTTCTTGGGAGATGCTTGATGGGTTCCTCAATGTCTGTAAAATATTTGTCATTATTGATTTCATGAAATGTAAACCTTAAAATTTTTGTCTATAGCATCTCATCTTTTCAGGTTTCATAAGTTACTTTTATTATTTTTACAAGTAAAAAAATATTTCAGGTTATGTATGCCTTTGTTATGCGTCCGGAGAGCTTGCCAAAATCCTATCAAGAATTCATTCAGAAAACTGGGCCAGTTGCAGAGCCTGTGTACAAGGCTGTGAGGGATAGCTGTAGAGGTCATCCAGTTGATGTTACTTCACTACATACCTACTTATCTCATGCAGGAAGGTCTGACTATGTAAAGTTGGAAGAATTTCCCTCTATTATTCCATGTTCCATCATTCATCCCGAAACAAATTCATGTTTAGCCCATCAAGTAAAGGCAACTTCAACAACGTTCAAGAAAACATTCCCGCTTTACTTTTCTTTGACCTTTGTGCCTTTTGTTGTTCTGCACCTACAGAAGGTATTTTCTTACTAAGTTTTTTCTGTTACTATATCAGCAAATCATATACTTGCATAATTTATCAAGAAAATTGATTTTTTTGTAAAGAGAACTGTTATGCATAATTTGGAAGTATTTGTGGCAAGTGTCCTTTCTAAGGCACTGGAAGGAAAACACAGCTAGTAAATTGCTTGTGGTTAGGTTCCTTTTTTTATTTTGCTGGCTTACAAAACTTCAAATTTTTATTTTTTATGCATTGTCAGGGTAAAGCACACAGCTATATATGACTTTTAAGATATCGTTATTGTAAAAGTCAACGCACTTGACCATATGACCTATATGACATTTTGTGATTGGTCAGTGCATCACAATATTTACCCCTAACTTTATGCCCATAACTTAACTACTTACTGCCATTTTTGTTTTAAGTTAAGGGAACACTATCTTGCTAATTTTAACAGAGTCGTTTTTGTGCTTGGAATAAGATAGCCAACTTCTGTCTGCATCAACCAATGTTACTACTATTAACTTTTATTGCTGACATTTCTGTAATTTTTGTATATTTCTCTTTGCTGATGTGAAAATTTATGTTTTTTCAGTTCACTGATGCTCCTTTCCGTACTTTCTGGCTTGCCATCAACGGAGGTGTTCGCTCGACAGCTTTTTTGTCTGCTTTTGTTGGAATCTTTCAGGTGTATTTTGTTGTTCTCATTGTTAATATTATTATTACTATAATATTTTTTATCGGTAAATGTAATTTTAATGTTCTGTGTGTCTTTCTGGTTGTGCAGGCAGTCATATGTTTACATAGAAAAGTTTTTTCTAGAGATCACAAGATGGTATATTGGATAGCAGGTGGAATATCTGCCCTATCTGTGCTACTGGAGAAAAAAGCTAAGCGTGGTGAGCTAGCTTTATATGTTCTTCCCAGAGCAGGAGATTCACTATGGTATATCTTGGTGAACAGGCACCTCCTTCCAAATATCAGGAACGCTGAGGTATGGCCTCCTGACTTATTTATTTATTTATTTTAAGTAAAGAAGGAATGCAAAATGATAACCACATAAATTTGAATTCGGACTAGGTTGACATCCCAAGCTATATTAATTATTTGCTGCATACCTAAATATCATAAAAGATAAAAAAAAATACAAAAGAAAATGAAGGGACTATACAAACCTTTGACTTGGTAGACATCATCTAATCCTATAGAAATCAAACAGAAAAATCTGGAATAAGATCCCATGAAGTAGTACGTCTATGTCTAATTCCCAGAGCAGAGAGTTCGTTGGCACAATGGTTTCTCTCTATTTATATGAGATACATGAAATCTCATGCTCCTAAGCCACAGAACATATTCTGCCACTGATTATGAAGATACCAAAAAACAATATGATAATGGCAGAAAGCTTGAACCGGGAACATAGAGTCACTTTCAATTCATAGACTATACCCTGCTTTCTTAATTGCAATTTCAATACCTCGGATAGCACCAGGAAGTTTTGCATAATTAGCTAATTGTACACTAAGATAGTGAGTGAAACAACCAACAAAGGCAGCAACTCTATCATGAAATAGGTCCCCACAAGCTGCAAGACCAAGAGCACCATGAGCAGCTCCACCAATATTGCACTTTATCCAAAAACAGGGAGAACATAGTAAAAGATACTGGTATGACAGAAGGAGCTAGATCCACTTTAATAGAGATGCCANTCTAATCCTATAGAAATCAAACAGCAAAATCTGGAATAAGATCCCATGAAGTAGTACGTCTATGTCTAATTCCCAGAGCAGAGAGTTCGTTGGCACAATGGTTTCTCTCTATTTATATGAGATACATGAAATCTCATGCTCCTAAGCCACAGAACATATTCTGCCACTGATTATGAAGATACCAAAAAACAATATGATAATGGCAGAAAGCTTGAACCGGCAACATAGAGTCACTTTCAATTCATAGACTATACCCTGCTTTCTTAATTGCAATTTCAATACCTCGGATAGCACCAGGAAGTTTTGCATAATTAGCTAATTGTACACTAAGATAGTGAGTGAAACAACCAACAAAGGCAGCAACTCTATCATGAAATAGGTCCCCACAAGCTGCAAGACCAAGAGCACCATGAGCAGCTCCACCAATATTGCACTTTATCCAAAAACAGGGAGAACATAGTAAAAGATAATGGTATGACAGAAGGAGCTAGATCCACTTTAATAGAGATGCCAAATGGTTTTAGAATGCTGAAATCTTTCATCTTACATTTCCCATTATAAGAGCACAGATTACCAAATATGTTTAAGATAGGGAAGACATGGCTTTTCAAGCTGGAATAATGAATCATATATCCTTCAAAACAAGTAGATATTTGGCTACACCTAATGCCATCAATGACACAAAAAGATGGCAGCTTGATGATTAATACGAAGCGTCAATACATAACAACACCCAATCAAGGCTTTGATGATTAACAGTATCATGCACACATGAACTAACTAGAACTTATGAATGAATGGACAAGTGTGCAACATTTTCAATGTGATTCCCACAATGATAACATCGAGAGACCATATACAAACCACATTTAAGAAGATTATCATCTATGGCATGTCTATTATAGCATATCTCTCCATATCAAATTTCATACCCATCTGGTATGGAGACGAAGATGGGTATACATTTTTACTTCGGAGACATAAACGAGTATAACCAAATTCATACTTATCCTACCTATCACCACACCTATTTAAGAGAGACATGCCTTATTCATTCCACCATGAGTTTCAAATCATCAAGGAGGAATCTCCATATATACTTCTAGAGTTCCATGAAGAAAGTCATTCTTCACATTAAGTTGCTGTAATCTTCACAAACAATTTGACTTTATATTTGTCTATTGTCCACTTTCACTGTAAATATCCTTTTGCATTTTATGACCTTTTTGTCTCTTGGTTTGTAAAAAATAAGCTTTTTTCTAATGCATTCATCTTCTTTCATGGTCTTAATCCAATTTTCACTTTTCATGGTTTCTTGAACTAATGTAGGAAGTTTTGTGCTATCAATGACAACATTAAATCTTCAATCTTTATTAGAGAGATTATCACTGCAAACATATTGAGAAATGCAATATTCAGTACACTATTTTTTCCTTTCTCAATACGATGGGTGAAATCTCAATAACACTTATCTCCTCCTCACTATTATCTTCAGGAATTATTACCTTGGAGTTAGATAACTTTTCTTGCACTGAAGCCAAAGTGAATTGTTGCCTTTAATATTTTTTGTTAAAGAATTAGTCAAAGTGAATTGTTGCCTTGAAACGGGAGGATTGGCAAAAAAATATTTTTGTTTTGTGAAAGGTGATATCCATAGAGCATTTGTACCCCTTTTTGTTAGAGGGATAACCAATAAAGACATATTTAAGTGTTCTAGGATGTAATTTACTATGACTAGAATTATGAGAGTGACAAAAAAAGCACATCTAATCCAGCAAGGTAGACTTGACACTAAACGAGAAGAGGGAACAAAAGAGAATATAAACTCATTAGGAATAATGTCATTAAAGACACAAATGTGTAACCTGTTGATGAGGTATGTGACCACTAACCCAACTTCTCCCTGATAGCTTTTAGGAACATACATGTAGAAAAAGAAGGCTCTAACTACTAGAGGATGACAATTCTTCCTTTTTGCTACCCCCATATTGTTGTGGAGTGTTAACACTTGTTAGTTGATGAATAATAATATTATGGGACAAATTTGGAGAATTCAAGATTCACATATTCAGCACTATTATCAAATCTAGTATTTTTTTTTTCAAATTGAATTTGTACAAGAAAAAGAAAATTAACAGACATTCGAAATACCACATATTTACTTTTCATACAATATGTTTATGTGAGACATGTATAATCATCAATAAAAGCATCATACCATTTCATTCCAGAAATAGATTATAAAATAGGTTCTCAAACATTAGAGTAATTAAAATCAAATGAGAAATTAGTCTTTATATTACTAATGAAATAAGATGCACGGTGACACTTTGATAATTGGTATGTAACAATTAAAACACTCAAGAGACTTTTTGGTAAATAAACGAGTGAACAAGGATTTGACAAGGTTGAATGAGGGATGTCCAAGTCTGCTCTGGACAAGAAAAGGAAGTGCCATTGATTGCTAGCAAGGAGAAAGAAGGTTTCTTGAAGTACATGATATGACTCACCAATCAAATCTCCTTGTCTAGTTTTCTGTTAACTTCTCAAATTGCAATGAGTAAACTCTTTTCTGGTCTGTTTTTCTAGCATTTTTCAAAAATATTTTTCTTGTATTCTTGCAAACAGCCTTACTTTGCTTGAGAAAAATTTAGTTTTTACTGTCGGTGCCTCTTTAGATGTTTTTTGACGTCCAATATATCCATGTAGTTAGAGAATGTGAGTATTTTATCAGTTTGAAAACAATGCCTCCCACCATTGCCGCTCATTTATTGTCTTCTTCATAGTTAATCATGTTTATGATTCTTGTTTTCATTTTTCTCAAAGGTTCAAGGTTCTTCATGGTTTAGGAATTGCGAAGTAGGCGATGCCTTGCATGACAACTACATAACTTGTTTCATTTTATGCTGTCAACTTGTACAGGTTTTCTTGTTTTCAGTGTGTATGGGAGGAATAATGTATTACTTGGAACACGAGCCAGAAACCATGGCTCCATTTCTGAGGGGCCTGATCCGTCGCTTCCTTGCGAGCAGAATCAGCAATCCAAGCCCACCATCTAATCGGACTGCTTCCTACGCATACCTGCAAGCTCTTGATGGCATGACACCGCCAACATTACAGGAGAAGAGGGATACTGAATCTGAATCTTCCGAAAAGTACAATCTTGAATCTATTCCTGGGCTTTAACGTTGTTTTTTTTAGGGTTGGGAAGGGGTAGTCTCCGAACTAATGTTTCTTATATTAGGTTATAGATTATCCTTGTATTGGGAGCTAGTTCTGTTAGGTTCCTCATTTTTTATTGATTGCCAATGAAGGTGCTCTCAATATTTAGGTGTTCTTAATGCTTTCTAATTGTGTGCGATTGTCAAAAAAGAAAAAATTGTGTGCCAAAAGTAAATAAAAACATGATCTAATTATGAAGTGCTTGATGGAAAAATTGATCTCCATGATCATATTCTAACAGATAAAAGGGGGGCCGTGAGAGGTTCAAACAGACTGATACAGTAATTCTTGTGTGGATTGTGTTAGTTTGAAACTAAATAAATTGTTTACAGTGAAAAGAGGTGTGGCGCGGTGAGCGGATTTTGAATTCTCAATATTTGAACTTTTTTAAGTGTTATAATGTTAAATTGCTGTAATAATATATATTTTTTATCATCGCAACAAGTTTTGATAAAATATTTTAGTACCGATTTATTTTGATTTGCAATAACAAGGACATGTGAGAAGAAATGTGGGAGCAGTATGAACCCATTCTGAGTAAGTTTATTGGTGATTATCATCAAAGTAATCATTTGCAAATAATCTCGACATTCATACGACATTTTTTCATTTACATTTGGCGAGTATTAATAACCCAAATACAATACAATAAAGCAACGAATTTAAAGCAATTGAGATTATTAAAATTTTAAAATTCTTATTTCTTAAATATTTCATGGATAAAGCAATTCAAATTCTTTATACTTTACATTTTGTTTTTGTCGAAAATTTAAGAATAAATATACATATATTGACTCTTCTACGTTAATTTTTATTTATAAAAGAAAATGAAAGGAAGTAAACAAATGTGAATTAAGACAAAAGAATAAGTATTTTTGTCGAAAATTTAAGAAAATAAATATACATATGGTTGGAATTTAAGAAAATAAATATACAAATGTGATAACATTAAATAACTGTTCCATAACAATGGAAAAAATTTAGTAGATGGTTGGAATCAAAAAGGTCCATCAGTTTAGTTAACAAAATTTGTAAGCAAGCTTGCAAACCAGCTTAGTCTGCAATATAATCTTACATTGAAATTCAGTGTATGGAGACTGAAAGAAGGTTCTTACTTCTGGATTCTTACAGTGATTTGTACTGCTCAATAAGATGAGACGCATGAAGGCGAGATGTAGGGGTCACAGTGCAACCCAGTTTTTTCAAATATGAGATCTGCGAAAACAATTGCAACGTATGTCACATTCAAACTACAAATTTACATTCCTACAAATAAATAAAGCACAATAATCTCCATTTGTTCACCGAATCATTATCAAAAAATAAATGCAAGTTATCTAACACTACTACCGAAAAAATCCATGAATCTCAATGGCAAAGTGGGTCATATGAGAAGTATTCTTGGGCATGCGAAGAAAACAATCTGATGCTTAAGAAAGCATTGAAGTTTCAACAAGAAAATCAATGAACCAAAGTTGGAAAAGTTTCGTTTTACAGATCATTAGCAATGCTAACTAAGAAATGAAAACATTGGAGATGGAGACTTCTTGTGAAATGTGACACCACCACCATTAGGTATTAAGTCAGTAAACGAAAGGTATGAATGTACAAACAACACAATGAAAATGGTAAGAATTCAGATACATAGTAAAGTTATCCAATCCAAATCATAAGTCACGAAAAATCAACAAAATAAAATTTCAACGTAGTGATAGCTAACCATGTCTTCATAAATGTAATAGTAGGTTGCATCGCCCAAATCAGTAAAAAGTGAATATACAAAATCGCTACTGGAAAAAAAATCCAAATTCCTAGATCAACAAGAACTAGTGTTAAAATACAATAGATAAGTGGGAATAATCCTCACTTTACAAAAAGTTTTATAGGACTAAGTTAAGCTTAAATCACTTTGTAAGTTTGTATCGTCTTAGATCCACTAAAAAGGTCGGTCATCGTATTATCTATGTTCCAGTCCTAATAGTGATGGATGTGAAGGGGTGTATTGAGAAAACTCAAGTCCAACATACAAGACATGAATATATAAATAGAGATAATCATCACTTTAGAAATCGATTTATTAAGGTTAAATTAGATATAAACTATTAATATTTTATCCAAGTTTTCTGAATTTTTGTGAAATTCATCATGAAGAATAGCTTCATATTTAATTAACCACATACAAGACACGAATACCAAAAAAGATAAAAATGAAAGGTCTAACATGTTTTGTAACCAAGTATTGTTACCTGCTTGACAGTTGGTGTTGCAGAACCCATTGCATTCTCAATCTTTAATTTAAGAAAATGTTCCTGAAAAGTGAAAAAATACTCCAAAATCTTATATTCAATATGAAAACAACGAAAATCATGGTTACTATATACGTACCTCTCCACGAAAATACTTGTTATGCATATCACTCAATAGCAGGGGGAAAATTACATAAATGCTTTGCATAAGGTTGGTTTAGTGTATCGACTTATTTAGACCAACAATTATAGGATCGTGTTGATCCACTCGCACCTATTTATAAATGAATCAATCTAGTACCTACAGGTATACAATCACTAATTCTGTGTTGCCCGTTGCCGCATCCTAACAAGTCTTCTAACAGATTCCTAAAACAATTAGAAACCTAATTTTCAGCTTCTTATAAACAAACATATTTTCTCAGGAAATAAATAAAAAATAATAAGGTCCTTAAATTACAAAATATTACAATATAGGCAAAAACAAAAATGACAAATCCCAAGACGGAAGTAACACATGTTATGTTACATGACCAAGCAAGAAGTATTACATTAGCACAGCCCAAACTTATTAGAAGCTCCTGACAAGTATTACCTCGAGTTTGAACCAAAAGACCCAAACACTATGGAAAACATATTTTTGATGTGAAGTAGGTTTAAACAAAAATAAAGAGACAAAAGAGAGCATACTAGACCGTGAAAATCAAGGCCAATTAATCATGAAAGATAAGCATATTTAATACGCACTAAATATGGAAATAATCACTATAAATTAGGGATGCGGTAACTAGAATTTGGGGATTTGATTCTTTCACTTGTATAATTGTATCTATGACCGATTATTTTGTACCCTAATATGTGATCATAAATAAGATCCAAGTGTAGACATATAATCAAATTGTATGATAGTGTATTAACAGTAGACCGATTGTGAGAGGAATTATCAACAGAATTGGTCTGCATGTGAGTGAACAGAATACAAGCAGGAGGTGCAACTTAATCAGGTGAGGGCCGAACAGGATTGTCAACTGATTGAGTTCAGCCGAGTGAGATTGAGAGCAACGGTTTCACACAGTTGTTTGAACTGTTCAAGTTGAGTTTCCTATTATGCGAACAGCCCAGGTTTGCTGTTAAGGGGAGAAACGATAGAGGAAGACATTCATACTCATGTCCAGAAACTTGATTGATGCGTAAAAAGAACTCCGCAATCAAAGCTCAGTTTACGATTGACAATACCTAGCTTTGGTCAGAGAACTGAAGTTTGGGGTTGTTAGGTTTTTTGCCAAGAAACCTTGTTGGCTCTAGTTTGGTCCAGTAAAACAACAGAAACTCAGCTTAAAACTGGAAAACAGCTTTATTACTTCAAAAGCAAACATGATGTTCGAATGGAGCAAATGGACAATGCTTCCCTTCTCACAGGATGTCACAGACGTCAATGCTTCTCAATTACAAAACAACATCTCCTTTACAAGACACCCCTCCCTCCCTCCTAGGAATACTATAAAAACCTAACAACCCCAAACTTCCTAATAACCTATGTTCTGTTTTTCAACTCCCTTTCTCTTAACATAGACCCTCATAGTCCTGTCAAAATCACAGAGGTACTTGAGGTTTGCAGACTGGAAGCATGCCATATGGAAGTAGACGTGGTCTCAGAACAGCTGCAAGAACTGAAAACTACGACTGAAAGACGATGCCAAGTCAGGAAAATTTTGCACGAAAAATAAAGAAAATGGTTTTGAATGAGCAAATTGATCCAAAAATGAGGAAAACTATTGGAACAGAACAGTTCCATGTTTAGGGGTCATGGTGCATGGTACCTATATGATATCATGTTAATTTTATCAGGGGAGATTAAAGGAAGAAAGAACGCAATACTACATAAAGAGTGGTACAAAGGTTCTGCATATGATCTATATACATATACAGTCTCTAGATATAGACTTTGAAGACACTCTAGGCTAAAATTAACTATGCAAAACTTGCTAAGAACAAATAAAACCCATTAGTATTGCATGAATATATTATTTCCTATCTGCATTAACTAAAATATGTCCAACAGAAGAAAAAAATTAAAAACTCTCAAAAATATAATATGAGATGATGTAAGATACAAGTTATTCACATTAATCTATACTAATTTTCTAAAGTCAAATAGTAACTAGTGAAAATCCAGAAAACCTGTTTTTCTCTCATAAGATGAGCACGTTTATCAGCAGGAATCTGCTCCCATCTCAAAACCTATCAGGAAATAAATATCAGATTTCTTCTAAAGATGCAGTATCCTAGAAATGGAATCATGTTTGGTTTAAATAATATATAAAGGCGCTTACATATTGAGCATACCGAAATGCTTCGTCACAGCTTAAGCAAGGTTTTAATGTATTCAATAAGTCCTGAAAATGAAATTAGAAATTAGGATTCAAAGCAATTATCAAGATATTTTTGTAAAACGTAAAACAAGACATTTACACCAGTAACAGCCGTCATGTGAGTTTGGACAACTTTCATTAAGAAAAGTAATGAGAACAATATTTTACAGATTACTGTAAAAAAGTTTGTCCAGTAAGACGGAGAACGAAAAGAGAAATTGTTTTTGTTTCTGATAGATACTTGAAAAAGAATATGTATATCAACACATGAGTCCCAAAACATTTAAGCACAGTAATCTTATGCTTAAGCAGTGTCATCAATTGTAGACTGAAGAAAGTGGTGGATACCCAATAATCCGCTATATCTACATCATATAGCAGATATCACAGCAGCCAAATAGTGGAATTTGCATAATGGTTGAAAGATATATCTATTATATATGTATACAAATTAAGCCGTATGCAAATAAAAACAAAATGAACCAAAATTGCCATC